GTGTGTGGGCGTGTGTTGGGCACTTTAGTGATCTAAAGCTAGACAGGAAGAGAGCAGGTGGGAGTCTGCCCCTGCCTCCCTTGGGAACACAGTGGAAGGCTGGGGCCCTCCCTAACCCTGGGGCAAAAGGACCTCTGGAGGGCCCTCCCACCTGCTCTCCTCCCAGGGCCAGCTGGACCTTTCTGTGGTTGAGCCTTTAGCAGAGACAGAGCCTGAGGCACTTGGAGTGGGTGACAGGCTGGCAGACAGTGGTGATGCGGTCTCCTCTTTGATCACAAACAGTCCAGATTTTCCAAAGCTCATCAGAGGCCCAGCCCAGGGAAGTCCCTGGCTAGGAGGGGCAAGGAATGGAAGCCAAGTCACTGTCACAGTGGCTCCTGGGCTGGAGAAGAATGGAAGGGGAAGCGGGAGGGGCCCTGGAAGAGGGAGCACAGGAGAGAACTTGGGGTGAGGCGGAAGGAGGGCTGCTCTCAGGGCCCTGAAGGGCTTCCCACGATTAGGAAATGCTCTGGTTCCCATGGGTCTGCCTCCTTCAGGGGCTGGGCTGGGCCTGACTGACCTCTCCCTACTTCCAAGAGGATGACAAGAGGCAACTTTGGGTCCAAACCCAGATCGGCTTGACACTCTGAGCTGGAGACAGGGAGGCCAGAGGGAGAGGAGCTGGAGTAGGGGAGGCCTGGGCTCCTAGAGCTGTGGGAGGGGCCTGGCCAGGCCACGTATGCTACAGGCCAGGGCCGGGAATTTCCCCCAGTGTCACTTTGCCCTTTCCTCCCCTGCAGTGGGGCCATAGAAAGCTCAGAGTAACAGGCAGGCCCAGGGATGCAGGGGAAGCAGCTAGGATGGAGAAAGAGGAAAACAGGAAAGACCCTGGAGAAAAAGTCAGGAGGAATGCCTTCTAGGTCTGGTGTTTCCGAGGACGTGTTGCGAAGTCTAGGGCTAGTTCCTCCACAGCTCTGGGCCCTGAGGTCCTCACTGGAAAGAGGAGATTACTGATCCCTGCCCACTGCATTGGGTGGATGATCACTGCCATTGCTGCCTCTCACTGATGCCAGGCTCTCGGGTGTCTCATTCTTTCTACCCTGTGCACTGGGCACAGTTCTAACCTTCATGTTACTAATGAGGAGGCCAGGAGGGGCATCGTGAGGGGTAAGTGGCAGGACTGTGATCTGAGCACAGGCTGTCTGACTCCAGAGCCCACATCCTAACCCTTGTATGACATGCCTTGTGGAAGTAGGGCAAATTGCGGATATGAAATGGTTTAATTCACCTTAAGGTGCTGAAAAAGTTTGAAAAGTTATACATTTCTTACCGCTGTGGTATCCATCCCCTTACGCAGTTATTGGGAGGTAGACGGAATTAAAAATGCCTTCTCGGGCTGAGGGTGGGAAGTAGAGACCATAGTCTCTGCTCACTAATTTACTTCTTACCCCCAAATACGATTACCTAGTACAATTTCAGTCAACGCCATGTACTTGACATGCATTTCTCATTTATCACTGAAATCTCTCTCTCATATAGACACACACCCAACACCAAAAAACACCCAGAATCCACCGTAGGCCTTTACATTCCTGAGATTGCCTCTGGCTATGGGGATGTGAGACTGCATCTGAGGAAGGGACCCAGACCCAGGACTGCTCTTTCCTCAGTTCATTAGCTGCTTGCCCAGAGTTTCATTCACCCCCAGCCAAGAACCCGACTTGACTAATTCACTACAAGTGGGGCATGTGCTTGTTTGCTTTAGAAGCTCCATTTCCCATCACTAGGGTGTGTGACAGTAGCACTGCTCTGGGAGCAGGAGACTTAAGTACTATCACAAACTCGCTGGAAGACCTCAGGCAAGTCCCTGCCGTCAGTGGCTTCAACCCCATGAGAAAAAGGCTGGGTCTGATCCTTTCTAAGGACCCTTCAAGGACTGGCATTTTGAGTTCTATGCCTTGCCAAGCTGGCAAGATTCCATAGCATGTAGCTTAAGCGGGTTAAGAGTTTAAGAGCCTGGATCTTCACGTTCCAGTGACCTGGTGCTATTTAAGACCTTGAATAAGTCACCTAACACCTCAGAGCCCCAGTTTCATGTGTGAAGTGGGGAAGGGGATGGTACTGACCTCAGAGGTGGGTTGGGAGATACATTATGTGAAAGTGCAGACCTAGCACGCGGCAAATACCCCACAAACGCCACCTTCTGATGTTTGTCACATGCAGCCTCCACTCCTCTTCAGGCACTGGATTTAGAGCTCAATCATTTACACGTGGAGTTTGGGTTGTGTTGTTAATGTTTTTCATTTCCCTCAAATGCGGATTTAAGTCTGACTTCCGAGCAGCCTTGGTGGAGGTGGTAGAGAGAGAAGGAAAGGTAGAAGAGATACTGGGAAGTTTTGTGTCTCAAAACCAAACAAAATGAAACAAAACACAGGCCTTTTGATTCTCCTCCCAGGTAGGGCTTTGTGGGGTGCTTGTCATCACCCTGGAAGAGCAAAAGTTTCCCAGCTGCCTGAGTCACCCAGTTTCCAGTGTCAGTCCCAGCTTCTCAGCTTGGAAATCTCCTTCCAGCTACGGGCGTATCAGGGGTGCCAGGCTCTGGGGGGCTGTTTCCCACTCTGCCAGGCCCCCAGAGTCTAGGGTCCCACAGAGGATGTGGATGGTGGGATGGAACCTAGGGAGGCTGAATTCCTGGGTTTAACAGTGAAATTCTACTCAATGCATGCAATCCACATCTACAAACCACTACCATTTCTCCAATGCCTACTGTGTGCCAAACTTTGAGCTTTACTTGCATTATCTCATTTATCTTCATGATCACCTAAGAGGTAGGTAATTATTATCTCCATTTTTCAGACAGGAACAGAGGCTTAGAGAGGCCACCCAGGAAGTAAGCGGTTGAGTCAGGGTGAGAACCCCATTAGTTAGATCCATAGCCTATGTTCATCATGAGTGTTGAGTTTCTGTAAGAAAGAAGGAAAAACCAGGACATTGTAAAGACAACATGGTGCAGTGGAAAGAGCACATATGACTGGGAGCCAAGGTCCAGGGTTCCAACCCTGGCTGCATCACTCAATATGCTTCGCCTTGAGGAAGTCCTTTACTACACTGAGGACTCTGTCTACCAATCTGTCAAATAGAGGGTTGTAATCAGTGGTCTCCAGGGCCTCTATAACATGATGAAATGCTCTGAACTCAGACTGAAAACGATGGAACAGGTAGGTGTGGTCATGACTTTGAAGAGATGAGTGTTCTCACACATTGTAATTGTTAAGAAGAAGTATCCACAAGTAGGCAATCAGGCAAAAAGACGGCTGTGTGAGCTTTTTATGCCATGCTAGACCATTGTTCAACAAGCCACCTCTAGGAGTCATCTGGCACTTTGGGGAATGAAGCTATTTGCCTAAGTCTCTAAGATCAGACCTTTACAAACACAGCTAAAACAGTTTGGGGAAAAAAATGCAAATAGTTGGAGACTTCATTTTTTAAAGTATATTTCAGGCATGAGAAGAGTTGGGTTGGGATTAGAAAGAGAGCATTCTAGGAAGAAGCAAACTAGGAGTTTCGGACAAGAGCAGGAAGGAAACTGGACTGCGGGGCCTGATGGGTGAGGTGATACCTGAGAGCTGCGGTGAGAACCAGCCCGAGATTCTAATCTCCCCATACCTTCCACACTGGTAACGCTCAGTGTTGCTTTGGTGTTCAAATCCCTTTCTCCCTCCCTCTCTTCAAAATCAGGGTATGTGTGTACTTATTTTCATAATTAAAATGAACTAGAATTGGTACTGTTTTGAGAATTTGATAACTCCTTTGAAGTAACTGAAGGCATCCCATGATGTCACAAAGCCTGAGAGTCCTTGGATTAGGCATACACGTGGGTAGGGATGTGTGTGTTTTTTCATATAGTCACAGTAGATTGACAGATTTCTCCTGTGAAATGAGGACCTATGTCGAATAGGTCCCCAAATCCTTTCTGAGAATGAGGCCCTGTCAATGACTAAATTTTCAACAGTTCCAGTGAAATACCTCTTTTGGAGTAAGGTTTTCATAAAACTGTATTTACCCAATTTAAAGAGCTGTCCTTTAGTCCAAGGTTAGGCCTTTCCAGTTTTTGAAATAAAAACTCAACCTCTTTTAAATAAAACGGTGAGGTTAAAAAAAAACAAACAAAAAAACCCCAGTGTTCCCAACCTTAAATCAAGCTCCTGCCCCTTACTGGTCTGGAAGATCCCACAGTGTGTTTCCATGGTCTGGGCCACATATAAGTAGGCAGGGTAGGAGATGGGCTCTAGATTTGCCTACTTAGGTTTGAATCTTAGCTCAGCCATTCACTAAGGTCATCTAGCTTCCTTGTGCCTTGCATATTAATTTATTTATAGTAAAAAATGATAAAACCATCTCATTACGGTGGCTGTGTGGATTAAATAGCGCATGCAAAGCGTCTACCAAGTCTGGAGCAGTAAGTACGCAAAAAAAATGTTAGCAGTGACAGTAAGATTCTTTGAAGGTCCTTTCAGTTCAGAATTTCCATGAGCTCTGCTAAGTCCAGGAGCGCCGTGGAAGGAACCCTAGGGCCCTGCGCTCTAGCTCTGGCTCAGCTCCAGATGCTTTTGGCAAGTCCTCTCCCCGCGCTCTAGCCTGCGTGCCCCTGGCCCAGAGAAGGGGTGGGTGGTCTCCGCGGCTCAACTCTGCTCTGCAACTCCGGCTTTTAGGGTGGCCCCAGCCTCATTCCGGCGCCTGGAGTTTCCGGAGTAACGAGTGCCGCGAGGGGCTGCCCGGACCCGGGGAGGTCGCCGCCCGAGGCAAAGCCTACCGAGGGGCCGGCCTGCTGGACGCGACCCCGGCGGCCATTCCTCACACCCCTGGGCTCTCCAGCCCCGGACCTCCGGCAGCTGCTGTTTACCTCCTTGCGTCCCACCCCAGCGGCCGCGAGCCCGACGAGACGGCGCGGCGTGATTGGGCGAGCTGCCTATCAATCACTTGGGACTTTCCCAGGGGTGGGGCTGTCCAGCCCCCGGCACTTCCTAGTCCCAGGCCTCTTCCCCCTGCCCAGGCCCGGGAACCCGCGGAGTGCTGCCGGGCCAGAGCCTTGCCTGGGCCTCTACCCCCGTCCCTGGACCAGGGGCTGGACGCGGAGAGCGGGGCATTATCCCCCAGGGCCCCCACCCTCGGGTAAGCCGGCGGGGCCGGAGCAGGGATGGAACGGGAAGAACGAGTCCGGTACTGGGCCGTTCGAGCCTCGGCAGTGTCTGGCTGTGGCGGGGGGCGGGGCGGGGAGGGGAGAATCAGGCCGGGCCAGGTGGCCCAGGCTTCTTGGCTCCTGGGCTCTGGTACGCGAGTTCCCCGGGCACGGGGCGCCTCCAGGGGCGGCGGGGTCCGGCTGAGCGGGGAATCCCTGACCCGCGCGGAGGGTGGTGGGCGCGCGTGCGCACTGCGTGGGGGAGCCCGCCTGGGAACGGCGTGCAGGCGTTGTGCACAGCGTGCAGACCAGCCAGGTGGGGGTGTGTGCGCGGGCGTTGGTCTGTTTACAGTGTGGGAGACCGGTTTTGGAAGCAGTGTGCGTGCATATGTAATGAAGAGGAAAATAACTCCTATTGGGCGCTTTCTAAGTGCTGGTCTAAACCCCTTACATATATTAAACTCATTTAATGGTCGCATATCCATACTCAAAATGAATATGATCATTATTATCCGGCTTTTACTATCCGCATTTTACAGTTTAGGAAACCGAGATACTTGGAGATTGGTGTCACACAGCTAGGGAGTTGCAAAGTCAGGATGTGAACTCACGTTTGACTCCAGACTCCCTGCTGTGCTGTTGAACATATTTTGTCTGCTGTTAGAGACAACATTTGTGTGCATGTGCACGGTAGCTGTAGTGAGTTTATGTTGTGGAGTTATTCTATATGTGGGTGAGTTTTCCACCGTATAACATTCGTCTACAAGAGTGTGTGAGGTTGTGTGTATGTGAAAGTGATTGTATTATGCATTCATTGTGTATGGGAGTGGGTGGGAATTTTGTGTGACTGGGTGAGAAATTGTGTTTTGGTTGAGGGCAGGGGGACTTTTGTGGATGATGCAGAAGAACCAGCAACATCCGTCCACGCCCCCTTGCAGAATGACAGTGCAGGGAAATCTGTAGATTCCTAATGCATCATTTTTATTTCACAGTATTGTCAAAATGGAATTTAATCAGCTCTTACTCATTTTCCAAACAATGGTGTATGGTAGAGGGGAATTTGGCATCTGATGCGAGGTCAGGAAAGGGGACTCTCAATTTTTTTTTCATTCGTGACAATGAATATTGGATTTAGAGGCTGGAATATTTATTGGCACAAACTCATAGCAATCCTGTGATGTATTAATATCCCTATTTTACAGCAGAGAGAACTGAGTCCGTGAAAAGCCAATAATGGCAATAGTAACATTTTAAATATGGTAGCTTATATTTATCAGCACTTACCGTGTGCCAGGCACAGTGCTTTACATTTTAGTATCTCATCTTTTCACCAACTCTAGGAGTTGTTAGTAGCCTCAATTTTCAGATGAGAAACCTGAGCCCCCAAAAGGTTAAGACTTGTCCAAGTCTAGTAAGCCTTGAACCCTGGGCCTTGTTTCCTTTCCACCATCCTGGCTGTGTCCTGGGAAAATAATGTGATCAAGGCTTGGCGCTTCACAGAAGCCCTTGATCCTGTGTCCCTCTGGAGGCTGCAGCCATGAGTGTCCTGTGTTCTGCATCCTTACATGACCCTGTTTTCCCCCACCCATGAGTGTCCGTAGGTAAGGCTCATGCTGAGGGTTGCTACCTGCCCCTATGCCCACACCAGGTCGTTTGGGGCCCCAGGAAGCTGTGGGGTCTGACTCATACCCTTACCCCAGTGCTGCCTATAACTTGGGGCCCGGATGTCCTGAGTTGGGTCTGCCGACCTGATTTGAGTACCTCAGTGTTGTGGAAGGTCGGCTGTCTGCCTCCCTCTCTGGGTACTACGGGGTACTACTTTTACTTCTGCACTCACTGCGATTTAAACACTGCAGTCTGCTTCTCTTCCCCCTCCAACATGCCAAGCTTATTCTTGCCTGAGGCCTTCGTACTGTTCCTTCTGCCCAGAACGTCTTTCCCCAGCTCTTTCCATGGCTGGTTCTTCCTTATCTGCCAAGTCACAGCTCAAATGTCACCTCCTCAGAGGGGCCTTCCCTGACCTTTCTATGCAAAGTAGCCCCTTTTTTCACTTTCTATCATATTACTATTGTATTTTTTTCATACATTCATCACGCTTTGCAATAATCTTGCTTATTTGCAAATGAGAAAGTGTATATGTATGGAGCTTAGTGTCTGGCATATGATAATTTTTAGTGTTTACCTGTTTGTTAGCTTTCTCTTTTCCTAGAATAGGAAGGTGAGAGCAAGGACCCCTTTAGTCTTCACAGGTGCATCCCTGATACTAGGTAAGAGTATCTGGGGTCAGGGTCTGCTGGGTTTGTTCAATGAATGAATAGAATAGAAGAAACCAGGATGATGGTGCATTTCACAGATGAGAAAACTAAGGCCTAAAGATGGGAAGGCACTTGTCCCAGAGAGGTAGTGGCAGAGTCAGGGGGAATTGCTCCCTTGCATTTTTTTCCCTTCCAGTAGTCCGCAAACATTTTTGGTCACGCTTATGTCTGTTGCTCAGGGGAATAAGGTACTGGCTCTGTCCAGGAACTTGTAATAGAATGGGCAGAAATGTGCCACGGGCACTAGCTGGAGGGCATTGTGTGCCAGCAGGTGCTCGGCAGTGAGTCTCCCTGGGTGTGGAGCAATTTGGGGGTGCCAGATGGTCAGGGGGCTTCCAGAGGGAGCTGATTTCAAGGCTGGGCCCTCCAAGAGGATGAGGTGCAGACTGGGGCCTAAGCCCCTTTTGGAACTTAGTAGGCCAGGTAGAGGATTTGGGGTAAGGCACTGCTGGGTTGAGGGAGCTGACCTGCTGCACTAGGAAAAACCCTAAGCTCTTGACTACCAGGCAGAGAAGTGTCAGCTGTTCCCGGTCGGTCGGCAAGATTGGGGAGTGATTAGAACAGTTGGTTTGCAAACCCAAGAGTGCATCAGAATCCCCTGGGAGGCTTGTTAAACAGATTGCAGGGTTGCACCCCCAGAGCATCTGATCCAGCTGGTGGCGGTGACGCTGCCAGCTGCTCTTTGAGAACCCATGGTGTAGCACGTATGCTTTAAAGTCCGGCACACCTGGGTGGGTGCTGTGTCTGCTCCCTCATCTGTAAGATTCTGTGACGTAGGTGCTACTAACAGAGTGGTACGAATTAATGAGACAGTGCGTGTCAAGCACTCAGCACAGGGGTAAGCAATGAGTAAAAGCTGCTGAATATCATTAAGGTTAATGATGCTAATCATGAGGGTACTGAAGGGATTTCAGTAGATGATGGGGATGGTCTGATGTTCCATGCTTTGGAACAGCTTGCCTTTAACCCTCTGCCACCTCTGGACCAGGCTGTGCCTTCTCTGGACGGGTCATCCTTTACTTTGTCTTAGATGTCGTCTTGTCCCTAATTGGAATAATGAAAAGTGTGCATGTGGGTGGGCTGCAGAGGAATCTGGCCCAGATTTCATCAACAGCACCCAGCACCCCAGCAGGTGATCATCCAGCCCCTGCTTGACCCCCGCCCCAGGGTCAGGGAGTGCGCGCCCTTGTAGGCAGCCCGTTCCAGTGTTCTTACAGGTGGCTTGCTCTTGTGGGCCCTCCTCCTTCCTCACCCCCTCTTTTTTCCCCCTCAGTGCTCACCAGCCCACTTGGAGGGAGGGGTGGGGAGGACAGTAGGAGGTGTGGAAGAAGAGCTCACAGCTGGCCCCCAGAGGACCGAATTTGCCTCCCCTCTGTGTCACTACAGTCCCTGCAGCCTTGGGCAGGCCCTCTTTGCTGGCTTTGGTGTCCCAGCTGCAAAACGAAGGGGTTGCACTGGCTGGTGTCTTAGGGTATCCTCTTCCAGCCCAGTGATTGGGCTGCCCTCTCTCCGGCTCCAGCAGTTTCCGAGTTCTTCCCGCTGGGCCAGGCCTTTCTGTGCCCACCCTCCCAGCTTCTTGCTGCGGCACCCCTGCTCCCCGCACCGGCCTGTCCCTCCTTTTCCTGTTCCTCTTTGGAGAGAGGGTATCTGGGACCCCCGGAGAGTTGCCAGAAGGAAAGCACAGGGAAGCAGGGAGAAGCACCCTGTCTCCTGTGGGGAGCAGAGCCCCCGACCTGCAGAGACAAACCTTGGCAGGCACTGCAGCCTGGCCACTTGCAGGAAGTTCTGGATGTATTTCCCCCATGACTGGCGTGGGACAGTCACGCTTCCGATAGGAACATAGGAACGGATGACTGGGCTGAGGAGCAGCTGTCTGTCTGTCTGAGGGCCGTCCCCAGGCGGGGCTGAACTCTTCTCTCCCCAAGGACCTCACCCAGAGGCTGTTCGCTGTGTCGTGAGCACCTACAGCGTGGACAGGACCAGGCGGCCCAGACAGATGTGTGTGTGGGGGAGGGCGGGGGGAGCTGTGGGAGTCATGCCACCAGAGACTCATGCTCAGAGGCCAGAGCTGGTATTTTTAGGGCGGGCGTAGGGGGGTGACCCATGAGTCAGGGGCCCTTGGTTTGGTCTCCACCCACACTGGAGCCTGCTCACACCGCTCTCGGCTGGCCGGAGACCACGGTCTGCGCCTTTGTCACAGCCAGCCTCGTCAGTGGTCTGAGGAACCCTGGTCCCCCCGTCCCTCCACTTTTGCCTCTGCAGGTGCTCCCCCCATCCCGACCTCTGCAAAGAGGAACGGGGGTCTGAGGACAGCAGCGTTGACTTTTAGAAAGTTTGAGGGACTCTTTCAGACATAGAAGGGAATGTGCAGACAGTTGGGCACCCACCCACCCTACTTAAGAAATAACGTATTTTCTATACACCTGCAACTTCTCCCTGATCATCCCCACCCTTCCAGAGGGAACAAGCGTTCTGAGTTTATTCTCTTGTATCTCTCATTCGTTGTATTGTATGTATGCATCCCTAAGTAATATGCAGTATTGTTTCATATGTTTTAAAACGTTATTTAAATGTCATCATACTCTGTTCTACAACTTGCTTGTTTTGCTTAATATTTGTGAGATTCATCCTCGTTTATATCTCTAGCTCTGGCTCATTTGTTTTTCACAGCTGTATAG